TGATCTTCTGTTGCTGACCTGGCCTGTAACCTGACTACTCTTTCTCTTGCCGCTGTAAGCCTGATCTGCCTAGCCGATACCGAACCCGGCTCGTCTGACCCTGCATCCACAGCACGCTGCGGTCAAGTATCCATCCCGCACAGCTACATCAGAACCCTGCTCCTTGCCTGCAACTCATCAGCTCACCTGCTATTACCGAACTAATCTCAGGCACTCATACCCCACCGTGCCCCTGCGACCGCTGTCTCACCATCAGCAGTCCTTGAGCTGGAGTTGTACGGGAAGCCTACCTCTTCATGTCAGGTTCACTATCCAGGTACGTGACACATCCCCTCCAGATGGTACATATGATTACTACACTCTGGGCAAGGTCCTACCCCCCACAGCTCCACTTCCATGTAGATAATCCTGACTATAGAGAGCTCATTGGCAGCTGTCAGTGAGATCCATGGTGTGTCCAAATTCATCTGGTGTTTAGTAAAGTGTCTCTGGCAGGGTAGTGACAAGTTGGTGTCGAAAAAGTACTAAATTGTTTGGCATCCACACTCAACAGGACAGTTGACTACCACATCTTTGGTTCTTGAATGGAGAGCCGTTTCAGTTTTCCACCCCACTGCTTGACTCCTGGGAGTGGGGTGTTCTGGTTTAACGGCTTCCTCTGTGTACAGTTAGGGCAGTACAGTTAGGGCAGTCTCTTTGACAAAGGCCCAACTCATGACAGCTCAAACATGGGGTTGATGACTTGGCTCTCCAATGCAGTCACAACTGAGGCTATGTTTACCTTTTTCATGAGGTGGTCTCTCCCCAATGCTCCTCAAAGAAGTATTCCTGTCTGTGCCAGCTCTGTCTAGAATAGAGCCTTCCTTTCTGTCAGTTTTTGGATGGTCACCTCCCTTGGAGCTGTCTATTCAGTTGCAGATAGATCTATCAGTTTTCCACCTATAACAGCCATAAATGTGTCCAAGCCTGTACATCTCTGCTCTTGACATGTTATGACCACTTCTAACAGTTCCTGGAACTTCAAATTTGTGTTGCTTCTGTCTTTCTTTTACAAGGTTTGTCTGACATTGTCAGGCACTAGTTAACTTCAGATAGTTACTTCAGCTATTTGCCCACATCACTCCAGTCAGGCCACCCTACTCAACCCCTTTCTTATGGCGTAGTTTTGCTTCCATCTCTTGCAGTTCCAGTGCATATTACAGAAATTCAGAATGGAGTTTTGCAGTCTCTGGCTTCTGCCAAAGTGGGCCCCCAAGGTCCCCTAATGTTGATGCTTGGCTATATACCACTTCTAAGTGGTTAACTCTTTTGTCAAGGGAATTCTAGTCTTCCACTGGAGATGCAGAATTTTTTTTGCTTTCCCCCGTAAGGCATTAATGGTTAGGTTTGCCTGCTGAACAGATGGGGTCCTATATAATTGAATCAGGCCCCACAATCTCTTGGTCCCATCACTCAGGTCTTGACTGTTCCTGTTTACCCAGGTTGTTGTGGCAGGAATCCTTTTCATTGTTGAAGTATTGCAGGGACAGTCCATGGCTTCTTTCTGGTGTAGTTTTACCGGGTGTCACTGTTGTTCCACTCCCATCACCATTGTTTGACATGGCCAAGCCTGTTCATGGATACCAAGCATGAATCATGTTAGCTTTTGTGCTATTGTCCCTCGCATACTGTACTGTGGAGTGTCTATGTGGATTTTGATACAATAAAGGTGATTTTATGGATGTGCGGCCAGCTGGACTCGTTTACATCATGATTTCTGCAACCAGCAGGGCCAGCACCTGCTAGCGTGCAGTGGAGTTGGGTTAGATTAAGACCAATCTTGAACGGTGTTTACTTTTTTCTTTTGTAACAGGTTGGGTAAGCAGCCAATTGAATATTGCAAACAGAATGGCAAGGAACATGCATACACTGCAGAATAATACAAAACAGATTAAGAAAGCTGCACAAAAATGGTCTCTCTTTACAACAATACACACACACACACAAAATTTTACCTCCTAGCAGAAATCCCCTCACCCCCCCAAATTCCCCACCTTCTCAGTACTACTCTTTCATCCCTCCCAATTTCTCCCTAGCATAACTCCCCCCCCCAAATCCCCTCTCCCAATCTAAAATCCTTCCCCCAAGCACCAATCCTCTCCTCCCCAAATCCTAATTCCCAGCACAAATCATATTCCCCACCAAAATCCCTATCTTAGAAAAAATCCTCTCCTATCCCAAACCCCCCCCCCCCCCCCCACAAATTCCCTCTTCATCTCCAAAACCTTCTCCCCGGCACAAAATCTCTCCCTCCACTCCCCTCTCCTCAGCACAAATTCTTCACCCAGCTCAAATCCTCTCCTTCCTATAAATCCCCTCAGCATTAATCCACTCCCCCTAATCCTTTTAGTACAATTCCTCTTATTCTCAAACCTTCTCTCCAGCACAAATATTCCCCCTAAACCCCCTTCCCAGCACAAATCATTACCCCCATTCCCCTTGTTATCACTAATCCTCTCTCCCACAAATTCCATATTCTAGCATGAATCCCCACCCACAAATTCCACCTTCCCAGTGCCAATCCTCTCCCCCCTATTCCCTTCTAGCACTAATCTTCTCTCACCCCAAACACAAACCCCCCAACAACATAACTCTGTTCACCCCCCCCCCCTCAGTACACCCCTGCACAAACCTCCCCCAATCCACTCCTTCCAACACAGATCACCAACAAATCCCCACCTAATCCCATTCCCAGCACCCCCCAAAAAAAAATCCTCTCCCACCCTACAATTCCAATACCCCAACACAAACTATCCCCCCTTCCCCCTTATAGCAATAATCCCCTCACCCCCAGCAGCAATCTTGGTACCCCCCCAAACTCAGTCTGTCCCCGGCCCACCCCGAACTTACAGATCTCAGATACAGTGTAGCAAGGGAGATGTTCTTCCTCCCAAGCTCCCGCTCGTGTGTGTCATGTAACATGCAAGAGCCAAGAAGGAGCCTAGGAGAAACTTCCCTCAGCTCTGAACTTACTTGCTCTGAAAGGCAGCTGAAGGGGAAAGATGCTGGCTATTGCAGTGGTTCAACAAACTCTCTATAGTTGTGTGCTATTAGATGCCTGCCCTATAGCTTTCTTTTACCATGTGTATGCAATGTTTGGTTTACAAATAAATATACTATATATTACTGTTGAAGTTCAGAATCTTATAGTGGGTGCACATACCTTTGTTAGTTTTGTTCATTTTCAAATTGATCCAGTGAAGTCCTTTGGATCCTATGCTCAAGCTGTATATGAGGCCTTCTGCAAGTAGATATTAGGTCCACCACTTTCTGACACTAAGCCATGCTCCTGTCATATCCTCTTACACTCCCACACAATTTTCAAATGCCAGAGGGCTGTAGTGGCTCTGGAAATGGATGACATTTATAGTGTTACTAAACCCACAACAGTAAAATCAATCTGTATATGCAGTAAAGCATGCTTGTTATACTCACTGTGGAACCTGTTAGGAATGGACTGGCCAGCAATGGTGGGACTCACCTGCCTTTTGATCTGCAGTACCAGGGCTGGCCAGCGGGTGCTCCCAGCAATCAGAGACTCAACCTTTCAGCCAGCTAACACCTGGAACTGATGATGCTGGGGTATTTAAGGGATGGCCAGACCCACAGACTCTGCCTTGGTGTTGTGTTTCTCTTGGGCCCTGTATCCTGTTCCTGCTCTCTGTTCCTGTCTGATTCTCTGCTACCTGTCCTGATCCCTGGCTTGTGACCCTGACCATCCCTCTGCTTGACCCTCTGTACTACGCTGCTTGCTACCTGCTGAACCTGGCCTGTGACCCCGACCATTCTCCGCTTGCTCCCCCTGTACCTACCTGCCCAATTGATATTGACCCGGCCTGCCTGACGACGCTTGCTTGTATGTACTGTTATCTGTGGGTGGTTTGGTTTGGTTTGTTTGCACTGTATTATGTTTAGTATTGCACTGCGTTTATGTTTGTATGGTTAGTGTTAATAAATTGTATTGTTTATCACATATCTGAAGTCTGCGTTTTCCCTGCATCAGTCACACACCTCTGGTCATACCTGGGAGCCCTGACATTACACCAAGGCCAATCCTGACCAGAAGTGGCTGCACAGGGAAGCCATCTTGGCTTGTTGATGGGAAGGATGGATCTGGATGAGGTTGAATATTTATATCTGCTAGTGTTTGATGACAGGGAGTATGCTTATCAAACTCTGAAGGAGTATACCCGGGATGAACTGCTAGAATGTATACGGCTCGCTCATGTTCTAGTAGATCAGGGCACAGAGTTCTCTGAGGTGCAGCCTTTGATTGAAGTTTGTGCTGAGTTGGTTTCATCTGGTTCCCCCGAATGCAGGGATGAATTTTTGCCACCATTTAGTGCAGACCAGGTAGAGTCCCTGGTGTGGTTATTAGAGGATGATGTGGGTTACTTTCTGGAGCGTTATTTCCACATGTTCACCACAGACACTAAGAGATTGTATAAACGCAGTACAGTCATTGACCAGACAGGCTTTGTGTAAGCTCAGCTTTGTTCAACCCATACTGCAGACATGGACAGATTTGTTGCACCCAGCCTCAGTCAGCTTACAAAGACCCAGTCCTGCTTCTAATCTATTTCCTCAAAACTCTATTCCTGCATTCCCAACAGCTCCTCCTGCCCTGCTATCTACCGCATGTCAGTACCCTGTTCCCACTCGCTGCACCTATCCTGCCTTTAACCCTGTAAAAGAGCCCTCTGTAGCAACCGCTCCCTCTCCTGTTCCATCCTCCAGTTCTTCTCTGTCTCCAGCTGCTCCATTCGTTTGCAGACTGCGTTTACTTGCAGTGCTCCAGTAGTTAAAACCAGAAAAAAGCGAAAATTCTTTCCAACCAATACCATCCTGCCAGTATCCAAACCGGTGAGCCTGCCTTCCGTGGTTCAGCCTGAAGCCTCTACTCAGCCTGATGCCTCTACTCAGCCTGATGCCTCTCTTCGGCCTGATGCCTCTCTTCGGCCTGATGCCTCTACTCGGCCTGATGCCTCTACTCGGCCTGAAGCCTCTACTCGGCCTGAAGCCTCTACTCGGCCTGATGCCTCTACCCAGCATGATGAACTGATCCAGCCTGACGATCCTATTAGGCCAGTTGACTCGATGCCCGCTGTTGATCCAGATGATCCGGTACCTGATCCGGTGCCCGCTGTCGAGCCAAATGACCTGATGCCTGGTGACCCAGTGCCCGCTGTCATACCTGGTGACCCGATGCCCGCTGTCGAGCCAGACAATCCGGTACCTGATGACCCGGTGCTCACTGTCGTGCCTGTTGACTCGGAGCCCACTGCCTTGCCAGATGACGCAGTGCCCGCTGTCAAGCCAAATGACCTGATGCCTGGTGACCCAGTGCCCGCTGTCCAGCCAGACGATCCAATGTCTGACCCAGTGCCCGCGGTCATACCAGTTGACTCGGAGCCCACTGCCTTGCCAGATGACGCGGTGCCCGCTGTCGAGCCAAATGACCTGATGCCTGGTGACCCGATGCCCGCTGTCCAGCCAGACGATCCAATGTCTGACCCAGTGCCAGCGGTCATCCCAGTTGACTCGGAGCCCACGGTTGTACCTGGTGACTCGGTGCCCGCCGCCCCGCCTGGGGGCCTGAGACCTGTCGTTCCGCCTGGGGGTCCGGCACCCGCCACTCCGCCTGAGGGTCCGAGACCTGTCGCTCCGCCTGGGGGTCCGGCGCCCGCCGCTCCGCTTGAGGGCCCGAGACCTGTCGCTCCTCCTGGGGGTCCGGCGCCCGCCGCTCCGCCTGAGGGCCCGAGACCTGTCGCTCCACCTGGGGGTCCGGCGCCCGCCGCTCCGCCTGAGGGCCCGAGACCTGTCGCTCCATCTGGGGGTCCGGCGCCCGCCGCTCCGCCTGAGGGCCCGAGACCTGTCGCTCCTCCTGGGGGCACGATGCCCGCCGCCCCGCCTGGGGGCACGATGCCCGTCGCCCCGCCTGGGGGCACGATGCCCGTCGCCCCGCCTGGGGGCACGATGCCTGTCGCCCCGATGCCTGTCGCCCCGCCTGGGGGCACGATGCCTGTCGCCCCGCCTGGGGGCACGATGCCTGTCGCCCCGCCTGGGGGCACGATGCCTGTCGCCCCGATGCCTGTCGCCCCGCCTGGGGGCCCGATGCCTGTCGCCCCGCCTGGGGGCCCGATGCCTGTCGCCCCGCCTGGGGGCCCGATGCCTGTCGCCCCTCCTGGGGGCCCGGCGCCCGCCGCCCCTCCTGGGGGCCCGGTGCCTGCTGCTCCGCCCGGGGGCCCGGTGCCTGCTGCTCCGCCCGGGGGCCCGGTGCCTGCTGCTCCGCCTGGTGGCCCGCTGCCTGCTGCTTCGCCTGGTAAACCGATGTGCCTCTGCCCGGAGTCCTGCCCGATGTGCCTCTGCCCGGAGTGCTGCCCGATGTGCCTCTGCCCGGAGTCCTGCCTGATGTGCCTCTGCCTGATGTGCCTCTGCCTGATGTGCCTCTGCCTGATGTGCCTCTGCCCGATGTGCCTCTGCCCGATGTGCCTCTGCCCGGTGTGCCTCTGCCCGGTGTGCCTCTGCCCGATGTGCCTCTGCCCGATGTGCCTCTGCCCGATGTGCCTCTGCCCGATGTGCCTCTGCCCGGTGTGCCTCTGCTCGATGTGCCTCTGCCCGGAGTCCAGCCCGGTGTGCCTCTGCCCGGAGTCCAGCCCGGTGTGCCTCTGCCCGGAGTCCAGCCCGGTGTGCCGCTGCCCGGAGTCCTGCCCGGTGTGCCAGTCTTTGATATCCCGCCAGTTACCAGACCCGGGCGGTGGAACATTTTGCCCAGCTAGGACTGTTTGGAGCGTCCTGAGGCCGCTCCTTGAGGGGGGGGTACTGTTAGGAATGCACTGGCCAGCAATGGTGGGACTCACCTGCCTTTTGATCTGCAGTACCAGGGCTGGCCAGCGGGTGCTCCCAGCAATCAGAGACTCAACCTTTCAGCCAGCTAACACCTGGAACTGATGATGCTGGGGTATTTAAGGGATGGCCAGACCCACAGACTCTGCCTTGGTGTTGTGTTTTCTTGGGCCCTGTATCCTGTTCCTGCTCTCTGTTCCTGTCTGATTCTCTGCTACCTGTCCTGATCCCTGGCTTGTGACCCTGACCATCCCTCTGCTTGACCCTCTGTACTACGCTGCTTGCTACCTGCTGAACCTGGCCTGTGACCCCGACCATTCTCCGCTTGCTCCCCCTGTACCTACCTGCCCAATTGATATTGACCCGGCCTGCCTGACGACGCTTGCTTGTATGTACTGTTATCTGTGGGTGGTTTGGTTTGTTTGCACTGTATTATGTTTAGTATTGCACTGCGTTTATGTTTGTATGGTTAGTGTTAATAAATTGTATTGTTTATCACATATCTGAAGTCTGCGTTTCCCTGCATCAGTCACACACCTCTGGTCATACCTGGGAGCCCTGACAGAACCTAAGGGGTTAATCCTCTGCATTGTGTAAAAAGGCTGTTTGATCCTGTTTTCTCTGCCCCTTCACTTGTTCAAATGTCTACCTGATAAGACAAACTGAACCCATAGCCACATGCACATGCTCAGTTTGGTGTGTATTGCTAGAGAGGTTTTTTTTTTCTTGGGAGAGTGCATGTGATCAGCAAGGGGCCAATCAGCACTGTCCATACAGAGGGTCAGGGGTTTTGCATCCTTTCTCCTAGAGCAGATAGAAAACTCCTCCTACAAGCTTTAACCAGTGCTCTGCTGAAGTCAGAAGGCTGCTGTAACTGCTGATGAGAAAAGATATTTACCAGTTTATATTTACTAAAATAATTGCATTTCCATGTTCTGTGTACTGTGGGAGACTAGATATAGTGAATGCAGATTCCTGGGTTTAGTAACGCTTTAACTCTTGCAGTGTAAGGAGCCCCACAGCAAGGGTATTTTTTTTTTGTGCCAAGAGTTGGACACTGGTTCACACTGCTGCAACTTCAGTTGCGACATGCAATATACAAATAGTGAATGCAGGGTCCTGGGTTTAGTAACACTTTAAGTCCTCATGCACACTGGACATTTTTACAGCAGCTGTTTTTGGCTTTTGACATTTTTTTCTACAGCCAGTAAACTCCCCAGCATGTTATCCTATGTGTCCATGCACAGATAGACTGTTTTCAGTGTTTTTTGGCAGGGACGTTTTTTGGCTGGAAAAAAAAACCCAGAACTAGTGGGTTTCTAGAGGAGTTTGTTAGCTGTAAAAACTCTAATGCTGAAAAACGCGGCAAAACATGGTAAAATGTGGTGAACCATGGCAAACCAGCATTTTTGGACTTTTTTTTGCTAAAAAATGCAAACGTTAAAAAACGCGGCAAAACTCTCTTAAACTCTAATGCAAAAAAGATAGAAAATGCTGAAAACTCACATTTTTTACGTGACTTTACACAGATATCGTTATCAACGTTATTAAAACGCCCCGTGTGCATGGAGCTTTGCTGTCAGGGACAGGGGCTTAACCTCGGGGGGATGTGGCCTAATCTCTATTTGTAAAGAAGTTGAGGTTCCTTGTACAGCTTGATTGTGGTATAGCAATCAGTAATCCAATTAGTCAGGTGTATTTCCAAGATACATGGTGCTTCTGATATGCAGCCAACTTTATGGGGAAGAACAATTCATAAATCATTTGTATGAAAATACAATTAAAATTTCTCAAACTCTCTTTCTTAGTCCAGCATTGTTCTATTTAATCACAAATATTTCTTTAAGATGACAATAAGCCATTCTCATTACACTTGCAGAGCATCGTCATATGATAACTGTATTCATGCATGGCGGGGATTTTGACATGTAGCATTCTTGCACTCAAGGGAATGTTCAAGTCATTTGTCTAAGAAAATAAAATCTTTGCAATTTGTCACAACATTACTGTAATGTCTCTTTGTACAGGACTAAAAAATGTTGTCCTTTATGGGATTAACTAGATTAGGTTAGTTACAAAGTAGTCAAACACTGTGCTTGGTCTATCAAAGCGTACCTACTGTGTGCAAACATAGAGGGAACATGAAAGAGTCATAATATATATACAGTACGTAACTCAATCAATTGACTCCACTTCTTTGAAATAAACAACTGAATGAAAGATATTGAAGTAAAATGCATGTAATTTTTTTGGAGTAAATTGGCTGGCAAGGATGCGCCTCTATGAAGCTGGCACCAGGAGGTAGAGAGATTCTGTTGCAGAGACCTAGGGTAAAGTCTAATGGAATTATGTGTGTTTTAGATTAGAAGTTATTTAATAGCTAATCTGTTTTCTCTATAGTATTTATCTACAAACGTTTCCATTGGAAGCATGTAAAATTGTCAAAGTGGCATAGAAAATTACTTTAAGGTAAACCCTGCAATAATAACTTCAAATATGTGCCATTAAAAAATATACTGTAGTTTCCTTTTAAACTTCAAGGTCTAATTGTGACCAATCATGCCCCCATAGAAGTAATAAAATTCCTTAAGCATTATTGTCTAGTTGCATTATATGCTTCAGTACAAGCTAGAATCCTTCCATCCATATGAATCTCAAATCCTCTTCACTCTCTATCATAAGAACCTAGAACCCTGTACCCAAAGGACACCATCCTACTCAGAGCCAGATCATCCACAAGGTAACCTAGGCAGGAACCTAGATCTCAGTGGACATCCAGGGGACCCAGCTACAGCTTTTATATTTATGCTGTAAACTTGGGAGGTAGTACAATCAGTCAAAGCTGTACACCTGTCTGTCACTTCACAAGGGTGATGAACGTGTAGGCAGTTGGTGTCTGATTGAGTAATCCCAGTACAGATAATTAAAAAAAGACAACTTCTCTGAGCCCATAGAAATCCATAGATATCTATGTCAGTCTGAGGAATGGAGAGGGGTAGATGTTATCTTACCTAGGTCCCCATTCTCACTTATTCTGTCTCTGATCCTGCATAGTAACATAAGACCCCATAAGTCTCTCTTATGGTATGTGTAAATAGGCTATGGACTCCCAACACAGGTCACATGGAGCCACAAGTGCCACCCACGCTGACAAGGTCTATGGTGATGTTTTCACAGGCAAACACATCTACCAAATATGAAGTACAGAAAAATTATCTTTCTCCCATTCCTGATCATCAAGGTGCAATCAGGCTGACATTGAAATCATCATGGAAGACTTAAGACAAGATGTGTATTCAATTATATACAGTATAATAAATGGTGAAACATAATCATTTACTTTCTTCTTGACTCCATTTTGTTTTTAATCACTGTAATTATTATTTAAATGTATTATGGATTTACAATGAAAGTTTAAAGTGACTCTGACCTCTCCTGCTGTCCACATAGAAGAGAATTTGTCAACTGAACATCCCACAGGATCACACAAATCATCTAGTAGTATCAATTTCCTGGTCCCCCACTGTGCTAAGTAGTTTAATCTGCTGGCCCCTACATCACCACTGTATCCTGTAGTTATGTAGCGCTCAATGGGAAGAACCATAGTATAGGGGGAGTGGCAGGAAATTGACACTCATGGAAGTGTCAGACACTGCAGGATCTTCAGTAGGTGTTTTTTCTTCACCAGTGCAGGAGTCAATGTATTGGGTAGTAGATGTGGTGAGTATTTCATATCTTCTTAGATATGACATAGTTGTTTAAAAAAAAAAAAATCCATGCATTTTCTTATTAATTTACTGTGACACCCTTAGGGTCAGCCTATTCTCTAGAACAGGGCGGCACAATGGCTTAGTGGTTAGCACTTCTGCCTTGCAGTAATTGGGTCATGGGTTTGATTCCCGACCATGGTGCCTCCTGCATGGAGTTTGTATGTTGTTTATGTGGGTTTCCTCACACACTCCAAAAGACATGCTGGTAGGTTAATTGGCTTCTGTCTAAAATTGTTCTAGTTTCATCCCTGGCCATGCGGGATCTCTTGCATGGTAGGGGTTGGGGAAAGACCTGGCAACCAACCCTATAAAAATAATTGCTAAGAGAATTTATGGAAAAAGTTGCTTACGAGTGACGGCCCATGCAATCGCCAAGGGTCGGATATGACTGAATGGATAGATAGATAGATTCTCTAGAACAGCCTTTTTCAATCTGTTCAACACAGAGGAACCCTTGAAATCATTTTCCGGTCTCAAGGAACCCCTCCTAAAAATTACTATATCTACAACTCATGATACATTAGTGTAACGGTCATTGGGAAGAATGCTGCTTACACTTGTGGTCATTGGGAAGAATCCCCCTTTTACAGATAGCCAAAAAGATCAATGGTGTCAGTGGGAAGTTATCTGAGATGAAGAAATTGCTCATTGCTCAAGGAACAGCTAAGAACCTCTGGAGGAACCCTTGGCTTCCATGGAACCATGGTTGAGAAACCCTACTCTAAAATAAAGCGAAAAATATATAAACTTGTTGTGTTGTAGCAAATTGGTGGTGTGGCCAAAATGTGTATGGTGAAAGGCATAGTGCAACAAACTATGTATCTCTAGCAACTGTTTTAACAGTCAAGCTCCTTTTTCCCAGAGGGTCAGACTCTGTTAAACATTAATTCCAAATTCACAATTCGGCATTAATAGGAATTATATTATAATTATGGTAAGCTTGCAAAATATTTGGTTTTTATGATTAATCATAATTAATATTAAAATGTGTGATTGGCCTTGAACAAGTGATAGTGTTGAATTCTTCAGTTATAGCTGAGACAGAAACATTTATTTGGAGCTAAGCTAACTAGCTGGAAGCTGAGTATTCTATAGAAGGGCATAGCTGGTTAAAAAGGTCGCTGGTATAGGATGTCATGTGAGTTAGAAATTAACCAAATTGTTTTATAAGTTGGTAATATGTGTTATATAAGTAGATTTTTGGTCATACAACATTATTGAGATATTATGTTGTAAAGATAGATTCAGTAACTTGGCACATGAGTTGGCTGATGCAACATTGTCAGCTTATGAAGCCACTACATATGGGCTTGTCAATCAAAAGACCATATATGCAATA